GTGCCCAGCCCATGTTTCCCTTTTTAATTTGGCTGCCAGGAAGCTTTGGACAAATTTTAAAACTGATCTCCCCCTTTTAAAATTTGCCATAGAGCTTTTGATTACTATCTGAACTTCATTTTAACAGTACTACTATTTGTGAAGCCAAATTCTCAAAGATGGATAAAAGGCATTAAATAAAACCACGTTTACGTTAAAAAAAAAAATTCAATCAATCCAGGCCCTAGCTGGAGAGAGATTTTTGAATGGAGGACTTTCCTAGCAAGTCCCGAAGCAGCACCCTCCCCACCCAGTGCTGCTGTGAACTTCATCCCAAGGGATGCAGGCTTCGCTTCGTTTTACAGAGTCAAATTATAACCAGCTCCCAGGGCCAACGCCGCACTCCTGGGAGGCTGGAAGTGGAATCGCCTCTACAGACACTCTCAACACAGCAGACAAAGTACAAAGTGGGGGAGAAAGGAGGCATTTGACACAGGAGAGGAAATTAATTGCAGGCAAGATGCTGACTCCAGAAATCAGTGGAAACCTCTCCTCCGTCTGGGGACACGTGGCCCTGCCTCTGGGGACACGACAGTGACCACGGTGCTCAGAGTGGGCTTCTGCAGCAGGTGCCTAGCAGCGGTGGCTCCTGGTGTGCCGGGCTCCCCTCCCAGAGCCTATGTGCCATCTCATGCCCCAGCAGAGCCACCCCGGCAGGGAAAGGCCACTTGGTTGCCCCCTTCTTGCTGATACTTGGCCCCACACCTGCAAACCCCTGACACTTTGGCTGGCATTTGTTTTTTTTCACACTAACGACCTCCTGCTTCCTAATTCAAGAAGCATTTATTGAGCCCCCACTGCATACACAGCAGGCCTAACTCCTGGGAGGTGGAGCAGTGAACCCGAGGGCCCCTGACTGCGGGAGCCCGGAGCTCAGTGCTCTTCTACGGGTTCTCGGGGGTCCAAAGGGGTCCCAGGTAGCCTGGAATTAACAGAGGGGAGCTGAGGGGAGCGAATGCCAGAGGGAAAGGACCCGAAGGAGACCTGGAAGGCTTCCTGGAGGAGATGTGCTAGAGCCGGGCGAAAGCAGCAGTGGGCATTAGATGGGAGAGCAGGAGAGACACATGGGGTGGAGAAAACAGCCAGTGCAAAGGCTTGGCGGCACGAGAGCCCCAGAAACTTCCATCCCTGGCTGCCTCCTCACATTTATCCACAGCGGTTCACTGCCGCTGCTGCTGCTCTGGGTCCCTGTTTGTCAGGCCCTGTCCCTGGGCACTGCAGAGACCACGCCCCCAACTCAGCACCCCCCACAACCAGCAAACCCCCACTTAGCATGCCCTACACTC